TATTAAACATTTTCAGAAACCTGTAGCAAATGTGGCCTGTGAAATCATAACAATTAAGCCACAGGAAAAAATGTATAAATGAACAATGAATACCTTTTTGTCTCTAACATTATTTCATTGACCAATCCAGTAATACTCTCATAAGATCTCCCCCTTAGAAATGGCATTTGCAATATGCCCCTTGTTAAAACAAAACAAAAAAACTTAACATTTTAATTTAGAAAACCACAATTTGATCTAAGCTTAATACAACAAACACATAAGAAAATTATAATTATCAAAAAGTTAGTGACAGTTATTAATGTGTAGGTATTAATGTACAGTGACTCCAATGGGTATGACCTTAGAGAACCAAAACCAAAGAGAAAATACCTTCCAAAAAAAAAAAACTTTGAAGAAAAATGTTCCCTTCTTTTAGTTTAACCTAAACAACCAAAATAAACAAGCATGTGGTCATTGTATATGTATATGGTAATGACACAAAACAGTAGCACCAAAAGCAGTGGTTTTTTTTGATGACTATTGGCTGTTGATTATTTTCTGAGAGGGTGGACACTTCTTTCCTTATACAGCACCTTATAAAAAGGAAGGACACTATTCTTAGGATAACTGGTGAATTTCACTATCACACTGGAGCAAAGCAGTTTTGTTTACGTAGGTGAACATACATTTCTGCATTTTATATTATGCATTAACTTTAAAACACATTTTAAGTATCTCACTTTCCATTCCTTATTCATACTGTAATTTATTTTGTTAAAATGTTAGTAAGAAACCCGCGTACCTACTGATTAAGCATATGTGGCACCTAATACCATAGCTCATATGATCACAGCCCCCCAAAAAAGTAAATTTCGAGAAGCAACTGCATTAGCAGCCATGCCAAAGATTTAGAAAGGTTTTTATCTTGTGAACAATTATGGTTCTTGTTTGATTGAAACATTCATAATAAAAACATAACACTTTTGGGGATACAATGTTCATTATAGATCCTTGTGATCAGTTTCTACTCCAGTTTTCATTTTTTGTTAAGACTCCATATAATAAAACTATTTGCAAACTGTTTATTTCCTTGTAAATTCCCTTCTTTGACTAAATCAATATATGTTCTACATATCTATGTTATTAATTAAGCTTTAAAATGAGGTTGTTTATATTCTTGCATTCTTATAAATAACCCACACATATGTAATCCCTCTAATTCTTTGTTAAAAGGTATAATTATATTTATTTGGGAAAAGTAAGAAAATGTATAAAATTTGAAAAGTATTTTTATGTCTAAAATTATCTAGTTAGATCACTCTGGTTCAAGGATACTTTCTTTTTTAGCTTGGGCCTGTTGACCTTCCTTATTTCACTCCAATCCAAGGGCAATGAGGAGAACCCAGTATGTGGTAAAGACTCTAACAAGATTTGAGAGGCTATGAAGATGCAGAAAATACAGACTTTGCTTCTCACCTAAATCAGTTGAATATGTGTACTGAGTTAATTATGATCAGGTATAAACAATGACAGTGAGGTATAAAGTGCCACAGGAGAATTACTGTTAGTTCTATCCAATAAGGGAAGGCGTCTGAGAGGAGATGGCATTTTCTCTCAGCTTTTAAAAATGAGAGTAATTTCATAATTTCAACAGGTGAATGTAGAAGTGAGGAGAAGATGCTAGGTACACAGTAAAGCAGGAACAAAAGGATGAGGATTTGAAAGCATATGACTAATTTCAGAGGGGTGGGGTAATGGGATTGAATTGTGTTTGAAATCTGTGGAGGTCAGGAAAGGGTAGATGGAGCTGAATTCAGAAAGGTGGGCTACAGTCATGGTAACTACCACACCATTAATAGCCATCTTGCAAATTTCTGTTCTTTGTAAGAGCAAGTCAACTGTTACAAACATCACTCTTCTACGGGGGTAGGGGTGATGGAAATGGGAATGTGTGTGGGTATAGAGCTCCAACTCAATACTGTTTTCATTATTACTTACTACTTAAGTAGTAAGTAGTAATAAATTACTACTTAATAAAGGATTTTTAAAACCCTACATTTAAAATAAATTACTACGTAATAAAGGATTTTTTAAAACCCTACATTTAAAAAATGTATATTACCCTTCCCCAAAACACAAAATGTGGAGCTATTCTTTATTCTGTTTGCAATCATATCAAAATATATTCTATTTGATAATGTGTTTAAAATTTCTATACCTTTTTTTATCCCAATGGGACAAGATTTTTTCCACCTCCAGGTCTCTGCACATACATTGCTCCTTCCACCTCCTCTTAAAACCTCTGCATCCTTCTTACCTGTCAGCTTTCAACCTGTGGATGCCAGTGTTGTCAACCCTGACTACTTTATCTAATTAGATCCCTTTCCCCAGCCCTCTCTTCCCAATAATTCTTTATCCCAGCTCTCTTCATGCTTTATAGGACTTTGAATTTTATAATTTCTTATTAATTTGTTCTTTCCATAGGCAATGACTCTCTAGCCCATGTTTGTGAGTTCCTTGATGGCAGGAACTTCAACTCTTCTATTCACTTCTGTACATATATAATACCTGCAACAGACCCTAACAGATTGTAATGATTCAATAATTGTTATATTAATTGTTTTCAACTCTAAAGACATATAAACCCATCAGACTTAAAAGTTGTGTCTTTACATTAACAAATATAATTTTTAAAATTTTCTGAGGGCAATTCCCTATGTAAAGACTGTGTAAGAAGAAGGTAAATATGCTTAAAAAGTGTCCTAAAATAATATTTAATTAAATACATGTTACATATAATAATATGAAAGCACATCTTTATATGTCAATATATAACTTATGTAACATACAGTCTTAATGTTTGTTTTGTTTAAAATCAGTGATGCTAATGAATTAATCCTTTTTGGATACTCAAGAGATATATTGGTATTTTTCTACACTGATGAATATATTATATATATATATATATATATATATATATATATATATATAAGAAACATAAGAATAAAAAAATTCTCATCATATTTTTTATAACATATCTTCTCTTCAATTTTCCTGTCAAAAGTAAGGTAGGGAAATGACCTGAAATATATTTTTCTTACAGAACATTGAAGATTGCTTATTATTTCAAAGAGAGCAGTCAGGGACGAAAATAGAGAAATGGACTATTAGAAAATCAGATTTCTTTCTATACTGACAAAAAAAGTAAACCCCCAACTTAAAATTCATCAAGTGTAAAGCAAATCCTCCTTCACCACCCAATACGGCACAAACATTTATTATTCATATTCATAAAATAATCTACTGACTATATTCTTAAGGAATATACACAGTAAGTTTTAATCATTGTTTATATTAAAATAAGCTTATTTAGTAGATAGTGTGTTAATTTACTTTAAGTAGACAGCCAATTTGGAGCTCTATGTGGTGGAAACCATATTCTAAAAGAGAGTCTGATGACATAAGGGGAAAAGCACAATTTAAGTCATGATGGGTTGATCTTTCATCTATCAACGGTGATTAAGGCAGTCGAGTTGGTCTCATTACACCAAGGTGGACTGGATAAGGCTCTAGGCACTGGTCTGAAAATATGGTTAACCCCAAATTCTCCAACAAGAAGTCCCTATTTTATTTATATTTTATTTCTCTAACAGAACTTCCATTCTGATTTTCTTCCTATCTTTGCCTTTTAAGCTTAATAGTAAGAGCAATCTTCAAGAAATCTCCAATTTCTTAAATGTGGCAACAAGCAATTGTCCTTTTAAAATATTTAGAATTCACCTTTTTTAAAATAACAGCAAATAAAAAGGATCAAAACTTTTGGTCATCAGTTTGCAAATGTAAGGACACTCACTCACTCACTCACTCACAGAGAAACACATGTATAGCTTATGCTTCTATATATACCCCGTCTTTGAAACAACAGGGCATTTAAAACAAATACAGCTGGGAGCCGAGAATGTAATGTGCTGGGCAAACATTCACTCCCATTAATGTAAATATATCCTTCAGTGTTTCCTACCAACCCCACTTGGTTATGAAAAACCAGCAATGTCTATTTCCCCCACCAAACACGCCACATGCTCTCAAAACAACCAGCCTTAGCAACTGGATGCAGAGACGGGCAGAGAGAGACAAAAGCGCCTGGCTCCTGAGTAGGATGCCTTCTCAAACCCTGGCATTTCAAAGGCAGCGAAAGAAGGTCACCCTAGGTACCAGTTTCTCAAACAAATACCTGTAGTAAGATAACTATTCTAGTCACCTTTATATAGTAGCAGCTTGTGTCTCAGGGAATTCGCCAGTTTTTCAATTATATCTGACACATATTAGGGACTTCTACCTCTGCCCCCCCACTCGCCAGAATTCAGACTCTTTCCTCAGACTCCCTGCGCCCCTGTCCCCATCTCAGGCTTTGATTGAAGGGCTGCAGAGCCGGGGGCTGCGCACTAAGGTATCTACTGCTAGACCTTAGCGGACTGGGCCATAGTTCACACACCCTCCACTTCTTCCACAGCAACCCCCGCTGGGGGCACCGCCAGAATCCCCACACTTGGCCAAAGTCTGGGAACCCAGGAGGTTTCCAGGAGACCCCAAAGACCAAGTGAGGCCCACCTCATGGAAACCCTAGCCAGCTCAGATCAGACTGCAAGGAGCGGCGGCGCGACCCCGGGTGTGGCAGGAAGGGGTGCCCCGCGTTCCAGAGCCAGACCCAGTCCTCCGGGGAAGCCGAGACTCGAAACAGGTTTCCCAGAGTCCAGCCTGCAGGGACGCGGAGCGCAGGAGCCACTGGCAACTAGCAGCCAACTTGCCAGCTACAGCGGCTGCACTTCTCGGCGGCTACAGGTTGCCCCACAGCGGACTCCCGGGTCCCCAAGACGGTGCCCGCCCAGGGTGCTGGGAAGGGAGACCTGGCCCGGGGTGGACGGGGAGACCCAGGGAGAGAAGGAGCCGGGGGAAGCTCAGTCCATGCCGGGAAGGAGTGACCCAAGGCGCACCTCCCGGCCGTGACCCCCACAGACCTTGGCGCCGCAACCTGCGCTTCTTGAGGCCGAAGATGCGCACTTTGGAGAAGATATCCACCAGGTTGCCGTTGCAGAGCCCGCGGTTCTTGCTGGGGCTGCTCCGCCTCCTGCTGGCAGACGGCCGGTCCCAGTGCTGCTCCCGCGCCTGCCGCTTCTGGCGGATCAAGCCGCTGGCGATGGCCGCGGCCATGGTGGCCCTGGGAACGGGTCCGGGGAGAGAGGGCGCAGGAGGACTGCGAGCCTGGGGCACCGGAGGGGAAGGCTTCGGTGCAGACCGAGGCTCGCCCTCGGGGCAGATGAGGGGGCGCCAGGCGGGGCTGAGGAGAGGGGAAGGGGAGCTCAGTCCTGACTGGGACCCATCGCCCTCTCCTCAGGGCGCGGGGCCAGGCGCGCAGATGCGCCCTGGGCGCAGCGGGACGATCCCGGGGAGCCGGAGGTCGTGGCCGCCGCCGCTTGGCCGCGTCAGAGTAGAGAGCGGGACCGTGGCTTCAGGCGCTGCCGGTCACCACTGGTCGCCGGAGCCCTCGCGGGGGTCTCCACCGCCACTCACGCTGCCTCCTCGCCCTGCCCGCCTCCCGGGAGGGAGGTAGAGCGGGCCGCTGGCTCCCTGGGCGGGCGCGGGCTGGAGGGCGGGTCCCGGCAGGTTCTGTGTGCCTCTGTCGGTCCGGGTCGCGCTGGGCAGGACTCAGCGCCGGGCTCCAGCTGCCCCCGGGCCGGTGCGGCCGCCGGCGCCGCCCGCTCTGGGCTTCTGCCGGTGATTGTCAAGTGCTTTGGAAATCAGCATCTGGAGAGACCAATCTTCTCCCCTGAGATCTCTAATCAAACCCTCCGTTCCCACCCCGCTACACCCCCTCCACCTATGTGGCCCCCTCCTGATGTATCTCTTCAGAAAGAAACAAAACGTACAGATAATAATAATTTTAAAATCATAAGAAAGCAAGCTAAGATGGATTGCAGGGGTGGGGTGCTAAGAGGCTAAGCCAAAGCAGGTGGAATTGCAGGAACATCGGGGTGCTTTTTCTTAGATGCAACTCGCTGGTTCCCGAGGCTTCCGAGGCTTGGTTGGGGCTTCTTGGTCTTAACGTGGTTCCCGGTGCACAGAAACTCTCAGCAGCGACTGGAGGGCAAGGTGGTTTCCGCCCTCCCTGCTAATCCCTTCAGCACCAACGCCCCCCACCCCCCCAACCCCGGGGTGGAGGGAGGAGGGAGGCGCTTCCACTCCTCACCTAGTCCACCCAAACTTGCAGGATCCTCCCTTCTGCTGCCAGGAAGGGTAGGTTTGTCATTTTGAAAGGCTACACGGAGCAAAAAGGAGGGAAGGGAAGGAGAGAAGATGTGATCAGGCGAGATAGAAAGACCCCACTCCCAAATCTGCTCCCCAGCCCAGGGAGGAGGAGATGACAGCCGCAGTAGCTGCTACAGAACAGCAGCTGGGTAGGATAAACGCTCAGGAGAATATTGAAGAAGTCAGGGCAGAAATACAAGGGGCAGAGGAGGGTGTCACACTATTCCAGTGCCAGCGAAAAGCAGTCAGACAGGACACTCCAATTTGAGCTGTCGTCTTCTGGCGTCCCTGGGCAGAGAAGCTATCTCAGGGAGCAAAGCCATCTGAACTGTGCCTGAAATTCAAATACAACAGCCACCGTCTCCTCCCCTTGATTTTCTGTCTGTGTCCCGACAGTGGTTCTCTCTTGGATAACTGAAAATGTGAGGTTCCAAGAGAAAGGGCGGCAGTGGAGGGCACCCGAAAAAACAAAGTGGGGGGAGGGTGGGAGGTTGGGAGACAGACACTTCATGCTTGGATGAACATGGCTCCGTGGTTTCTAGGATACACCAGAGTGGCAGAACCAAGCGCAGCTCTTGCTCCCGGCTTCTTACTTTTCTCCCCTTCCCTTGACACTGCTTTGCCCCTATCAGCTCAGGCAGCTAAAGGAAAAGAAATGTTCAAACTAGACTTCTCAAAATTCAGTGTGAAGCAAGGGGGAAAATAAGACTCATTTGGTAATCAGGAGACTTGCAACCACCTTCTTCTCCAGTGACTGCTTTAGAGCTGGAAAGAGGGCAGGCACACTACACAGGCATCCCTGGGAGCAGTTCTCAACCAAAACACACTTTCTCTTTGTCTCAGGAATAGGCAGTAAAGTACTCGCCACCAGGCAACTTGGGGGAAGTGCAGCAGATTAGAGGGAGGCTAGGCACCATCTGCTCTAAGCAACGGATCCACAGCTTCTCCATGGGTGCAACCACGGCTGGGCTGCTCTTCCCACCTTCACTCCATATTTACCAACAAGTCTCCTTTTGGGAAGGAAATACAAGCTAATGGGAGTATGTAGATTTAGATATAAGGCAGGCATCATTGGCTTTACGATGGGGTATATCACATTTAATATTAAAACATGTACTTCTGGAAGTGTTTTCCACACTTTGCTATGTTACATCAACAAATACTACAGTTATTAAAAGGGATATGCCAGAGTGATTTTGCTAGAAACCTGCAATCCCTAGTCACTCATAAAACAGCAAAGGTGAGGGGAAAGGGCATGCTATTTATTTTGCTCTGCCTCTTCCTCTTTATTTTCTGTTTCATATGTCTCTTTTCTTCCATTTTTGGTGAGTGTGTATTTGTGTTGGGTTGCTGTGGTCCTGCTTAAAAAGGGAAAGACGTCTATAGGGAGATGAAAATAACTAATTAAATGGCTATTGAGTGTGGCTGTTGTTTCAATTCACTGAAATGAGTCCCACAGAACATTAAGAGTGACTACTCTTGGTTTCCATTCCTGAAAAAAGGCCATTTGTACATTTCAGAAGTTCTAGATTTGAATTTGCAAGTGACTGTAAGATTAAAGCATCCAGGTTTATTATCTAAGGCTCCTTGCAGTGAGTGTTTCAAAGAAGTAAAATGTTAAGTATAATGACCTCTTAAATCTAGTATGACCTCCCCAACCAACATACCTAGGTTATTTTTAAAGGTTCTTTAAGCCTTTTGATGCATGTTCCAAGTATATTAATTTGAAAAGAGTGACATTAAGCTTCTTGTTCTTATAGCTGTGCTTATATTTTTGCAGGCATTTTCTTATACTGCTGCCTTTCCCCCAAATCCTTAAACTGGAGGTCAGGAGTTCAGTTTTTGGTTCTCTCAGAGCCCTCCCTTTATTGTTCAGCAGTCTCAGACCAGGCTGACATTCAGCACCGCGGACAGGGATCCCGCCCCAGTCACACCTCTTCCAGCAGATCCAAGTTCTCTGATTGTGAAAAGTGCTGGCTGTGAGGGTCTCTGACACTTTCCTCCCCTAAAAGCAGTTTCTCACTTTCCCCCATTAAGGTAGGAAGGAAATTAACCTTCACAGCTTCTACCGACGTTAATAACACACCTTGGAGCACAAAGCCTTTCAGCTTTTCCAAAACCGAGAGATACTCTTCTTTCTTGAGCTGTTCAGACCCCTGGCGCAGCACATGGAATAGCAGACTCAGGAGTCTGCAGGCATCTATTCTGGCTGTGAATTTCAGGAGCCTCAAGCGATCTTTTCTTTTCTACGTGGCTTCCTATTTTAAGGGAACTTGGAGAGGTGGGCAGCATTGGGATAATCAAGGTCTTTTAGCTTAATCCCTGCATTTTCATTTTACTTCCCCCAAAATGCTGTTTAGTTGTTTACGGATGGAGGTAAGTGAAAGAAAACGCAAGAGAGCCATCTGCTGTCTTAAGCTGTGATAAAAGAGTGTGCAAAGCTAGGGTGAAAACCGATTCAGGGCTGGTGAACACAAATGTAAAGGTTACTGTGGTTCAGAAAATAATTTCTCACTCATCAGAATCTCCTTGGAGTTGTTAATTTCACCTTTGACGTTACAAAGAGAAAAATAAAATACTGCCCAGGTGGTGTAGCTTCTGACCCAAGCTATTGGGAGCCTGAACGCTCATTTCAGAGGTTCTTGCTTCATTTCTTGACTCTGCAACTTCCTAGCTATATAATGACCTCCAATGTGTTGCTTTAGTCTCTCTCAGCCTCAATTTCTTCATCTCTCAAACGGAGATGAAAACAGAACCTCCTATTCAACTGCTGTGAGATTAAATTTAACAAATGCATGTAAAGATCCTAGTACCACATCTGGCACACCCTAAGTGATTGAAAATGACAGCTATGACTATATTACCATCACCTTACAGATGACTCATTTCTATCTTATAAATTCTTTTGCAGCTTTCCATTTTTTTATATCAAAATGTATGTATTCCCCATGTATATTTCCTCATCCCCCCTCCCCACAGTGGATTCCTGACAAGATTTTAAATACTTAGAAATGCAAGAAATTATTTTATATTTTGGTAAAATAAGTCCCAAGTTCAAACCTTAGTTATTATTGACTACATTTGTAAACTGAGTCCCACAAGCCTACTTTCATACCAACTCAATGCTGTTAATGAAAACCGTTCTCTACCTTTCAAAGACTATGATGAGAGTCTATGATAAAGTACTTCTAAAAACAGTCAAGTACTATACGAACACCAGTTTGGAAGGTGATTAGTCCACTACACACAGTGCTGAAGGTCTCCTGCAGATGTGATGGCCCCTTTGGACCTTCAACTTTAAGTATGTTGTTCTCTTTACCTGGACAACTTCTATTGTCCTGTCCTCATACTCCTCTTGGTGATATAAAACAGTGGCTAAAGAGTAAGGTAAATTGTCCTTGAGCAATTAATTTAACTTCTCCAAGTCTCAGTTTCCTGTTCTATAAAATTGTCATAATAATAATGGTCTTAATGAGAATTATATGAGAACATATATGTAAAATGAAGCAGTGCCAGGCACTTAAATGAATAAATAGTGGCTATTGGTAATCACTTAATTCTTTAGCACTCAGGTCTTTAGTTATTCAATGATCATATCTTTATGAGAATTTACTATGTACATGTCAACATTACAGTAGGGGAGGCAAATGATGTTTATCTTTTATTATTTTATTTTTTTCGAGTAGGGTCTTGCTCTGTTGCCCAGAATGGAGTGCAGTGCTGCAATCATGGCTTACTGCATCCTTGTTCTCCCAGGCTCAAGCAATCACCCCATCTCAGCCTCCAGTATGTGAGACCACAGACATGCAGCACCACACCTGGCTAATTTTTATTATTTTTACAGAAACAGGGTCTATGTCACTCAGGCAGGTCTCGAGATTCTCAAGTGATTCTCCTGCCTTGGCCTCTTAAGGTGCTGGGATGATAGGCATGAGATACCATGCCTGGCCAATAGATTTTTAAATAAAAATGAGACTTTTGGCTCTGTCTTAATATATTTTTAAATAAAAATAGAGAATTTTGGCTCTGTCTTGATGGAGCTTATGTCTAGATGGAGCTTATAGTTTAGATATCTTCTACACCTTACCACCTACCTCCAATTAATGCTGAATCTGGGGCTCCTTCTAAAAACTTCATAATTCCTCTATTAACACTTAACAATTGTTAAATAAGGAGAAAGCTATATCGATATTTCTACAAAGATGTCTGATACATGTCTCATGCTTAACATGACCATGACCAAACTACTGTTCTTCCTTCTTAAACCTGTTCTTCCAACCTTCCCCACTTCTGAAATGGCAACTGCATTCTTGTTCTTTAAGATGAAAACTTTGGTACCATATTAATATTATTACTTTCATTAATACCCCATATATATTCATGTAAGCTCTATTCTGTCTACCTGTAACATATATCCAAGATATGATCACTCTCACCATCTCCACTACTATCTACCACCATCATCTTTTGGGTGATAATACTACAATCATAACCTAAAAATCCCATATGTCAAAACCAAACTCCCCACTGTAGTGGCCTGCCATGTCACGTGTGATTTGTGCCCCACCTCTGCCTTCAGTTGTTCTCTTACATCATCTCTATTTATCTCCCTTCACTTACCACTTGCTGTCCCTCAAGCCACCTGGCAGGCTCCTATGACAAGACTTTTATACTTGCTGTTTTCATCTGACTCTCATCTCCTTCAATTCGTTCCTCACATCTTTGTTCACAAATCTGTTTAAAATTACAACTTATAAACACAGACATTTTCTTATTGCTTCCCTGCTTTAGCATTCTGCATAGCATGTACAAATTTTAAAATTTCTCTATACATTCATTATTATTTGGGCTGTCTTCCTCTCTTAAAATATAAGCCTATAAAGGTAACACTTTGTCTCATTTGTTTACTGCCATGTATCCAGTGCTTAAAATAGCGTCAAGCAAGTAGGTGCTCAATAAAGATTTGTGTATTGAAAGGATTAAGACATTGGATATCTGAACAATAAACAGTTAATACCAAATAAGAGGAACATAAAGTCTTGCTTAGCCCAGTCTGTCAAGGATGAAGTACCCCATGGCACCTAAAGAGATCCTTGATCTCTTTTAAGCACCAAGACACCCAAAATTCTATCTGGATTATACACAATCTCAACTCCATAAATAGGATATACAGGAAATACTTTAGCATTTTCTTGATGTCCTGGGCTCAACCAAACATGACAAGTAGTTTGAGTTCTGAATTTCACCAGTGACTCTCTTGGGGTTTACTGAAGGATGTTAGACTGATTCCATTTGAATCAAAAAGGACTTCCGATATTTATGATTCACCACCTCTCCACACTTCCTAACACACACACACACACACACACACGCACACACACACACACACACACACACAGTTTTCTATCTTGCTTCCTTGTTTTCAGGCTGTCAATTGATAAATTGACAATATGCCCCTTTTCAAATTTGCTACATCTAATCCATCATAGAATTTGACAACAGATACATGTATTTGTTAAAGTTATC